TCCCTCCTCCCAGCAGGCACTGATTTGCTTTATGTCCGCTGCCCTGCCATCGGTGGTTGGGCTTTCAGCCTTTCTGCCCCCACTCTCTGGAACTCCAGAATTGCTTCGCCTCCTTCAGGGATCATCTCAAGATCTTCCTCTTTAATGATGACTTCAGCCATCTCCCCACCCCCACCCACTTGTCTCCCACCATACCCAATTCAATTCCCAGTGTGGGTGCAAACCCTCAACTGTCCAACACCTTGGGGCGTCCTCCTGACATGAAAGCCGCTATATATATTCAATTTGTTGTTGTGGTTGTGTATTGGTGGAAATATAGATATCACTTTGGCAATAGTTTCTGATATATATTCTCTTCATTTAAATATTGTGTCAATAATAATAATTGTTGCCTTTGGTATAGATTATTTCATGTCAGGAGGACGTCCCAAAGCACTTCACAATATTATTGTGAAGTGTAGCGACTGTGTATTGGGAGGCAAATGCCGCAGCCTATTTCTGCACAGCAACATCCCACAAGCAGCCATGAAGCAAATGATCAAATTTATTTGGGGAATCATTAGCTAGGACACTGGGAGAAACTTTCCTCTCTTTTCAAATAGTTGCCATGGAATCTTTGATGTCCATCTGAATGGGCAAATAGAACCTCAGTTTAAAATCACATCCAAAGCATGGCACTGGCAACAACACAACACACTCCCAGCACTGGAGTTACGGCCTAGACTATGTGAATTCAAAGTCCCAATGTAGATTGATGAGATCCAAAATAACCTTACTACGTTGTGGTGGGAGATTTAAATGTAAAACGTTTCATTAAGAAAGTGGACCCTGTCTGTGTGATTCAGTGAGGAAGCAACTTAAGTTATTGTCAGAGAGAAAAATACAATCTAGTTTTTCTCAAAAAATATATTTTAAGTACAGCAAGTGATTGCCAATTCCTCTACCTTCTACTGTGACCATTTCATATTCTTTCAGCTGGGAAGGTGTGGTCTTACCCCTCAATGACTCAAAACTACTCCATCACTCCTTTCACTTCGCTCATATTCGTTGAATGTTGTTCTTGTATAGGTGGAAGACATGTGCGGAGAATGCAGCCATTCTCCGCACATGTCTTCCACCTATACGCATTGATCTTACATGAAGTGAGATTATTAATATATTAAAACATTCTTTTGACATACTGACATGCATTTTTATTACAACTGCCTCTTTATGGTTTTATTACAAGCGCCTCTCATTCATCAATTGGTTTGCATCAAGTCTAGAAGACGTGAAAAGCACTATATCAAATGCAAGGATTATTATTATAGATCAGGTCTGCATAAACAAAACCTATTCCCTTTGATTTTGCAAAATGCTTAATTTTGCAAGTCTTTCTGGTTGGTATGATGTACTTGTGATCTTGAAAGCAATGTTCTAACAACTACTTCATGTAGAGAGAGATGAATCTCTGGTGACTCTGCATAAGCCTTTGAACACTTCAGTGGAATCACAGCAAAATCAGTTGGCCAGCCTTGTGTAGTTCAAGATCAGCAGTGGTTTTAATTAATGTGTCTTGCATTTCACAGTCCAGATTTTGCTGTTAGTTAGCGAACTGTTCAACCAAGTCTTAAAATTACATTTTGAAAGGCACCTTGCAAGCGTAAAGTCAAGTGGACTTGATACCTGACCTCTTCAGCACAGACCTCTTTTATTTAACCTGGAGTCAAAGTCATTTAAAACCACTGATGCTATCTTTGAGTGCTTACCTCAATATTTGGATCATTTATGTCAGTAATTATTACTTTGCATATGCTTTGCAAATTGTCCTTTTTATCTGAGACACTTTGTCCAACACTGGCTGAGTTATCATGTTCAAAACGTTTCAAGATCTATGCATTTTAAGAGTTTAAATAAATTTTTTAAAAAATCCACGACCGTTTGTGGGATACTGCTGCGCGCATTGACTGCCGCGCTTCATCCACAAAATATAGTCAATTCACTTCAAGGAATATTCTGTGAAGCGCCGAGTGATTATTTACTTTTTAAAGTTTTTGGGGCGTTGTAATGTTTTACTCATATTTACATTTTCTTCCCGTGTCCAACATAGGGTATAACAACAACAACAAGATTACATTTGTACAGCGCTTTTCATGTTGGCAGGATGTCCCAAGGCGCTGGACAGTGTACAGCATTTCAGATCCGAGCTGGGGTCGGGGGGAGAAGGGAGGGGAGGGGAAGGGGGGTGACCGATGGCATGGTCGAAGAGGAGGGTTTTGAGGTGGCACTTGAAGGAATCTAAGGATGGGGTGAGGCGGAGTGACTGGGGGATGGAATTCCAGAGGTTGGGGGCAGAGAGGCTGATGGCTTTCCCGCCAATGGTGGGGTGGGTGGGTCGGGGGATGTAGAGCCGGCTGAGCAGAGGAAGCGGGCAGGTTAGTAGGTGGTTAGAAAGTCACAGAGGTAGGGCAGGGCGAGGCCATGGAGGGCTTTGTAGGTGAGGATAAGGATCTTGAACTGTATCCTCTGAAGAACAGGGAGCCAATGGAGTCGGGCAAGAATGGGGGAGATGGGGTCACGGAGTTTGGTGCAGGAGAGGACACGGGCTGCAGAGTTCTGGATTATCTGGATTATCTGGAGTCCTGTAGCTCAGTGGTTAGAGCACTCGCTTTGCAAACGAGAGACCCGAGTTCAATTCCAGGCAGGTCAGGGCGAAACCTTGGGCAAGTTTCCTTACTCCACACGCCTAATAATAATCCCTCCAAAACCAAAAACAATAATAAATTGGGTCATTTTCAATCTATGACTGTTTGTGGGACATTGCTGTGCGCAATTGGCTGCCGCGTTCGCCCACATATATACAGTCAATTCACTTTACAGTGTGTTCTGTGAAGCGCTTTGGGACGTCCTCCTGACGTGAAAAGCGCTATATCAAATGCAAGGATTATTATTATTATTATTATCTGCAGCCTGTGGAGGGAGGAGTTGGGAAGGCTGACAAGCAAACGTTTGCATAGTCGAGCCTGGAGGTGAAGGCGTGAACAAGAGTTTCAGCGGCCTGAGGGGTGAGGTAATGGCGGAGTCGGGTGATGTTACAGAGGTGAGGTCATGGCTTGGATGTGGGGAAGAAAAAATAGTTGAGGGTCGAACAAGACACCTAGGTTCCTGACTGGTTTGGTGAGTTGCAGTGTGCAACCATGGAGGTTGATGTTGCCAGAGCCTGAGGTGCTGAGGCGCTGGTGTGAGCCAATCAGGAGGGCCTCAGTCTTGTTCACATTCAATTCACATTGCCCTCATCCAGGACTCGATGTCCGACAGGCAGTCTGTCAGGACAGCAGTGGTCCTGGAGTTGAGGGTGGAGGCAGAAAGATAGAGTTGGGTGTCATCCGCATACATGTGGAAGTTGACCCCATGTCTGCGGATAATGTCACCAAGGGGGAGCATGTAGATATTAAAGAGGAGAGGGCCAAGGACAGAGCCCTGGGGGACGCCAGACTTGACAGTGCGGGGGCTGGAGAGAAATCATTAGAGGAAACAAAGTATAACCTGAAACAGCTCCAGCGATGAGTACATATACTGAAATTGGATCAGAGGTGAGTTTTGGATATGTTAGAATTAATGGAGGTCATGTGAAGGAGACCAGTGAGAATTGCATTTGATCAATCTAGAAAGGAGGTAATCAAGATGTGCATAGGAACAACGAATGACATTTTTGAAGCACCTTTAACATCGGGAGCGCATCCCAAGGCATCCCATCGGGAGCGTATCCCAGTTAGAGATTTTGACCCGAGCAGGGGGTTGGGAGGCAAGGAGGGTAGGGGTGGGAGGGTGACCAAATGGCGGGTGAAGAAGTCTTGAGATGAGCTTTGAATGAGGCAAGGGAGGGAGCAAGACGAAAGGACTGTGGGGTGGAGTTCCAAAGTGTCGCAGCAGAAAAGCTGAAGGCCCGACCTCCAATGGTGGGATGGGCTGGGTGGGTGACATGGATCAGGACAGAGCCTGCTGAGCGGAGGGAGCGGACGGGTTGTTGTGGGTTTCAGCAGCATTTGATGAGAGATACGAGTGGAGGAGAGCAACACGGTGAAAGGGGCGAAAAGCAGTCTTGGTCAGGGACTCCATTCATTTATATAGCACCCTTCACTTCGGATAAGATATCAGAGCGCTTTGCAGTGGTGGGTCGCGTGCCGACACGACGACGAGGGCCGGGTTTGCGATAAGCGTGGCCAAAAAAAAGGGCCGATACGGCGATTATAAATAGGTAGAAAAACTGGTAAATAAAAATGACAACATTTTTTACTCATTGCAACTTTTTTTTAAAAAAAATGACTTCCATATTCCCGGCTTGGTGTCGGTGACTCATGCTGAGGTAAGCCTTGGTGTGTGCGGGCAAACACTCCCCTGTTAGCACAGCCTTTGCCAAAGAGCCCTGACACCGGGCATTTGCTGACTTGTCCCCCCACTCCCTCCCTCCCTCCCTCCCCCCGCAAAGGGCGTTCGTTTCAACAGGAGCTTCAGAGAAAGTTTCTCCTGTGTCCCAAGAAAAGTGATGAATTGGGAGTCCAAAAGCGAAACGCCTGTCGTTCGGTTGTCCAAATGACAATCCTGGACGGGCGACTGTTTCTCTCTGCACCACATACCCCCCCAGTCCCAGCCCCAGCCCCGTCCTTGCATTATACCCGGTTGCAGGTTTAAGCGCTGTGCTCACCCCCCCTCCCTCCCCCCCCAACCCCGGAGCGGCGGCTCGAAGACACGTAGCGAAACTTCCCTGACGCGCGAGCGAACCACCGCAGGGTTTCAGGTGTGCGGCGGCGGGCGGGCGGCGGGCGGGGCGCTGGCGGAGAGGCTTCTGGGACTTGTAGTTCGCTGACCTGTGGCGTGAGGCGGCCGAGCCCGCGGACCAGGGGCTACAAGTCCCAGAGTGCAGCGGGAAGGGGGAGTGGGGGGGGGGGGAGGGAGTGCCGGAGGGGCGGACCCGCGCCCCCCTCATTACCTGCCGTGTGTCTCACACACACACACACACGGTCCCGGGAGCCCAAGTTTACAACTCCTCTCACCGCAGGAAACGCCGCTCCGACTCGCACTCACTCACTCACTCACTCACTGGCAAAGCGGCTCCGTTCCCCTGTCCTCTGCCCGAGGTGTGTAGCGAAGGGTTTTGAGTGGGGGGTTGTGATTTGATTTTTTTTTCTCTCGCGGTGGGGGGGAGTGTGGGAGTGTGGGGGGAGAGAGGGGGGAGAGAGAGAGAGGGAGAGAGGGACCTCCTCCACACGTTGTGTCGCGGACGACGGTGACATGTCGGTGACGGAGGGTTCGTTTCGTGAACGGGGGGTCTCTGCCGTGTGTCGTGCGTTTGGCTCATGAACACTCCCCCGGTCGAGGGCTGTTTGATTTGAAAGGTTTTCACGTTGTCGCGGAGGGGAGAACGGAGCCTAACTTTTTGCCCCATTGACTCTGAAACCTCTCCTTACGACAGAGTTTCCGCCGCCGCCGCCGCCGTGTGTGTGTGGGTGTGTGTGTGTGTAAAGCGCAAAAGCACTTCCTAAACAACAGGGAGATCACAGCGCGACGTTTATTGCTGTGAAGAAGCAACACGTTGTTCCGACCTTTGAGGTCTGGGTCGTGTTGTGTGAGAGATGATGTTTTCCTTCCCTTCTTGTGCAGGAAATCTGTTTTTTTTTAAAAAAAAAGTGTTTCTCCTCAAATTGGTTGTTGGCTCTTTCTCTCTCTCTCTCTCTCTCTCTCAGTCCCAACGAGTTTGAGGGCTATTCTGACCCCTCTCTCTCTCTCTCTCTCTCTCTCAAGAGACTTTGCTTCTTCCAAAATCGTGTTTTTTTTAAAAAAAATCCCCCCCTTCTCTGTGCTTTGCTTATCGTTTTAAAGTCGCACCTCCTGGTGAACCGAAAGATCATTCGGGTGTCGAAAGCGATCGGTGTCGTATAAGTTTCTGGTCGGAAAATGAAACGATGGAATGGGAGTCGACCCGTGGTGTCGTTTTACATGTTTTGGTTTTTTTTTTTTGCCTCTCGTCCAGAGAGTCCTTATTTCCAACAAAAAAACACAGGAGGGGAGGAGGGGAGATGCAGCTAAAGAAAATCATATTTAAATTATTGTTGGGGGGGGGGGTGAAAAAAAACGAAGGAAGAAAGCATTGCAAGGAAATGATCAAAGTAAATGCAGTAACTTAAATTACAGTGCATATGAATTGGTCAGAAGAAAATACTGTCAATACATGGACTATACCGAATGTCTTTGCGTTTTGATACGTCTGGAATTTTCTCTCTCTATATTTTGCCTTGGACTGTTATTATTATTATTATTATTATTTGCCTTGGACTGTGCTGTGTCTTTCGGGCTTTCCATATTTCATGTCTTGAATCCTGAAGTGCAGTGTTATTCACCATTCAGAATAACAGCTGCTCTTTGTTTAAAGGCACAAGTAAGAGGTTCTGATATTTGTACTCACACAGTGTGTGATCAGGTCTTTATCCCAACACTATAAGGTTGGTTTGTGAGTGGAAGAAGTAATTGATGTGGCAAGTGAACTGAATCACAGACTGGGTAGAGGAAACTACTCTATAGCAATCCTGGACATAACTTCACATAAGATAACATAAAAATCATAAGGTAGGAACTTGTTTAGAAGTCAATGACACCAAACTTTATCAAAGGCTTGGGAAAGATTGTGATAAACAAGATCTTCATAGGATCATTTATCAGAGGTAGTGTTGGGTAGTAATTAAGATAGTTAAACAATTTTACCACCCGATTAGGATTTGACTGTTTTCATTGGTTTGAAGCATTGACTACCTGAAGATTAATAAATGTAGATAAGCAAAACAAATTGTTCTTGTTGCTTTAACTTGGAATTTCTGTCACCTGTGTGCCAGCTGTTGGTTTCCAAACATACCATGAATATGAAAATTTAGATGCCAGCTTTAAAAATGGCCAAAATAACGTACTTTTTCCTTCCGTGAAACATTTTTTTCTAATAGGAATAAGAAATCCATAACCACAAGATTCAGAGAGCGATCTGATCAAAACAATAATTGTTGTTGTGATGATTTTATTTACTATACTGTATCATTTCAAGTTGAAAGGAATTATTTGTTACTTGGAATGAATGACTAACATCCATTACTTACAATTTGACTCAGCTCTGCAAACCCAATTCAGCTTCTTCACTTAGACTTATCAAGCTTGAAATTATTGTTCTGGATATGTTTCAGAGAAGGGGAAAATCCCGAAAGCGGTATTGGCAGCATTTTCTTTTTTCCATGTGCAGTAGTTTTCTTTTTTGAAAATTAGTACTGAAAAAAAATCTATGGATAAAGATCCAATTAATCGAAATAGTTGGCTAGAAGGAATTAAGAAACTTTACATATTTAAATTCCAACCACTTTTTTTATTCAGTCGCAATAGACGTACCAGTTGCATGGTTTGTTATTTTTAGTACCTCAAACAAATGACAGAATGACAGGATTTGGCCCTAATGTTGATAATCTATCCCTATTCCTAGAATTCCATATAAGGAAACGATCTAGTATCATCACTGAAAGGGGAACTGCTTTGTCTGAGCTATCATTAAACACTGTCAATTATTTTGATGTCATTGAGGTTGCAAGGTATGCATTTGTAGTTCTGTTTACACCAAAAACTGTTGTGTGAAAATAATAATAATAATAATAATCCTTGCATTTGATATAGCGCTTTTCACATCTTCTAGACGTCCCAAAGCGCTTCACAGAATAGACTGTAAAGTGAATTGACTGTATATTTGTGGGTGAACGCGGCAGCCAATTGCGCACAGCAATGTCCCACAGACAGTCGTGGATTGAAAATGACCAATTTATTATTGTTTTGTGTTTTTGGAGGGATTATTATTAGGCTCTGTGTGGAGTAAGGAAACTTGCCCAAGGTTTCGCCCTCTGCCTGGGATTGAACTCAGGTCTCTCGCTTGCAAAGCGAGTGCTCTAACCACTGAGCTACAGGACTCCACATAGTCTTTGTGGAGTCCATAGTCCATAAAAAACAGAGTCTTTGACTAAATGTAAAAAAAAATACATTTCAGAAAAGCTTTTGAAGGTTGAGACAAGCATGTTGATAAAATTAAAGGAAAAGGGTTAGTCTGATAGTTGTATGCCATTTGGAAAATTGTCCAGGATGTAATCTGAAAGGTGGGTTCCATCAGTGACTTCTACATTCTGACATTAAAGCAAGGTTTCTGTACCATGTTTAAACCATGCCTATTAAATCTATGTTAGCCCATTCTTGTCACAAACAGTACTGCATGTGAGAAAACATACTGTACAATGAATGGCACAACCAAACAGGTTTCAAAACAGAAGTGTTGTATTAGAATATAAACTCTTACAGAGATTGTTTCAAATGGGGCAGACTGCTCCAACCTTTTGACTTCTGAGAGTTGGATGCCCTATTTGAGAACCACAGAACGCTGTTCTCACTTCCCCCCACCCCCGTAGAGGGTGGGGAGGGTAGGGGTAGGAGCAGACCAGAGCCCGCTGAGCGGAGGGAGCAGACAGATTGGTAGGGGTTTAGGAGGTCACAGAGGTAGGGATGAGCAAGGCCGTGGAAGGCTTTGAAGGTGAGGACCAGGATCTTGAACTGTATCCTCTGTGTGATGGGAAGCCAGCGGAGCCGGGCGAGGATAGTTTTGTGGAGGGTTTGGACAATTTGACATGTCATATTTTCCATTGCTTTTACATAACATCGCACAAAGGTGATGGGTATAATGATTACGCCGGGTGAAGCTTCTGAATATATTGCCATTGGCTACATTTGTGTGAGATGTGCTCCAATGTTTAATCTATAATGGTATGTTTACTCTTAAGTTTCTCCTAAAAGTAACCAGTTATAAGTGAATGTTACCATTTATTTTAAATTTAATGTGCTGGTACGGTGGCTTATTCACTGATTACGTAATTGTTGTTCATGCTGCCTTAGCTGTCGGCATGGGCATATTTGAATGGGAATCAAATCTATATGTGTTCATATTTAACTATCAGGCTAAATGCAAACTTAATCCTGTATGGGTTATTTTACTCATAAAGGATTAAAATTTGCATTTAGCCTTATAGTTGTAGATAGTCAAAATACTGTAATAGAGGCTATTGAATTTCTAATATTAGAAGCCTTGTTGCTACCATTATCTAGATATTGCTACTGAAAATTCAGTCTGACTTCCACATGGCAAACACTGCAGCAATATCCAGGTAAACCGAAAGATTGAATGAGCTCTTGCAGTTTGGAATACATTTTATCCGGATTACCATTTTTTCTAAGAAGATGGAAACAAATTCCTACCTTTGATTGAATATGCATGCAGTCTTATGTGAATAAAATGGTTAAACAAGAATCATGGGGATTGAGGATAATAATTAATTTAAAACCATTCTTTGACTTCCAAAATTCTTACTGTATATTAAAGCATATGACCCCATCAGTATTTCCACAAGAGGTGGCTAACCACGAGTCAGCTATCAACCGATAAGACAATAACTACTTTACAATAAAAAAATGGGAATGGTAATTATGTTTTTAAAGTTTTTTAAATAATATCATTTAAAAAGTCTGTTGGCCAATTAATAAATTGGGTTTTATTATGTTATGTTCATTATCTGCAGTGAACCTTTGTCATTTAATAGAGAATCCAATTATACGAACAGAAAGATCACTACAAATACAAAGTGGTACATGATAGTCTTATCAAACACAAACATTTTTTGTATAATGCTAATAGACGAACAAAGCTTCTCTCTGACAAAAGCTTTGAACCTTCTTTGAATGGATGCAAACCTCAAATATCAATGTCTGGTGAAGCAGAGCTACTCAAAAGTTAATGCCTCATGAATGAGAAATATAATTCCCTTTAAAATGCAAACTGTGTTGTACAAGTGACTGCGACCGTACAAGTGAAATGTAGTTGCCAAGTCTTAAAAACTGCATGAAGAGTTTAACATTTTCTACTGTTAGCAAAGTGTTAGATATTGCACAAAATTTTAGAAATTAATATAAGTTAATATCATCAGGTTTAGTCACTGGGACGTCCTCCCAGAGTGGAAGGCGCTATACAAATGTAATTTGTTGCTGTTATTGATGGGAGGGCTTTCCAATCTGTGAC